GAAATGTTTTATAAATTACAGTAGATGTAGTATGTCATCTTTCTAAACTCTTGAAATTTCTAAATTCTGAAATACAAGGGCCTTGAGTAAAGGACTGTGGACCTATAATTCTTATTTATACACTAGATTTATTCTGTCTTATAAAATAAGAGTTTGCTAGGTAGCCCAGCCTCTGAGAGACTCTGAATTAAAGTGAAATTTCATTAATGATGCTAGGTTCTCAATCAAATGACTACTTAGTCTCAGAGGATAAGAATGCCCAGAAAAAAAGTACTTCATCATAGACTCCTAGTCTTCTGCCCCCAGGAGGAAGCTGTGTTTATTTAGTAGTACATTAATCCCACAAGAGCAAGGAGGGGAAGCTGCACTTCCCTGGCCGGAAGCATGCAGTCGTTGCTCCAGCAAAGCCTCTATCTATGATCTCAGATATCACTTACAACCGTCTTCATAGCTCATGAGCAGAAGCCAACTCCCCTTGCCAAAACTGTCCTACAAATGTTACTACAGGAAAATGCTACTGGTTGAGGTTGCTGCCCATTCCATGAAAAGAAAAAGGGGAAAGGAGGTCAGGTAACCCCAAGGATTAGCCAAGCTCCAGTCAGCAGCACCCACAAAGTGTCTCCACTATCTGCTCCTGGCTTTCATGACTCCCACTTTCCTGTTAGAATAGGAAGTTTACTTTCACGAGATTTATAAAGGAAATTTGCAGTGTCTGCTAGAAAAAATCTAAGTCTTAGCCTGTTTTAAAAAGTACAGAAAAAATTTCAAGCTTTTCAGAAAGAACAGGGGAGAAAAGAGAAGGGAAAAATACTTCCTTTTAAAATCTGAAAACATAATCTTTTATTCAGGAGCCTAAAAAACAGCCAGAGCTTTAGGTCAAACCTCACAGTCTGTCAGTGATGTGAGACATTTGCTCCTACATTCCTAACAAGATCAAAAGATCTTCCACTTAGATGGCCAATCAGGGCCAAACACAGGCCTAGCTTTGCTAGATTATTGACACAGATGCTTACTTTTTAATTCTACCCAACAGAAATAATTAGCCCCAAATCCCTAAGCACTTATGTCTTCCTCAAGAAGAGGTTACTGACCTCTATATGGATTCTTCTAGAATGTGCCAGCAAGGAATAACCTTATCTTTGTTCACAATGTGGCTCCAAGAGTCTGATATTATTTGCTTCACACAGGGACACGCATAGTGCTCTGCACATAGTAGGTGCTGAGTAAACATTTATTGAACAAAGAAAGGAATGAGACTATAAATATTTGGGGGACTTGCCTACTCTTGGGATAAAAGTCTGATTTTTAGAGGACAGAAGGAGAAGATAGGTAGAAGAGTATCTGCTAAACTTTAAAGATAAAAAGGAATGGTTTTAGAAATATGCTGACACCAGGAGAGTTTATCTCTTTATTCATTCACCCAACAAATATGTACTGAGCATCTATGCACCTGGTACTGTTCCAAGTACCAGAGACACATAGTAAAAGAGATGGATAAACTCCCTCATCTTCATGGAATTTGCATTAACGCAAATTAGCTAAATGCATAGGCTTTAGAGTCAAGCTTTCAAATGCCAGTACTAGTACTCTGTCAGTACTAGAGAAGTTAGGAAGGTAGCTCATCTTGCTCACCTTGAAAATGGAGACAATGGTACCTATCTTACAGTATTATTTATGAGGATTAAGTGAGAATCCATATAAAGCCATTAGCCATTATACCTGGCACACAGTCAATTTTTTTTTTTTTTTTTTTAAAGAATGACCGGTAAGGGGATCTTAACCCTTGACTTGGTGTTGTCAGCACCATGTTCAGCCAGCGAGCCAACCGGCCATTCCCATATGGGATCCGAACCCGGGGCCTTGGTGTTATCAGCACCGCACTCTACCGAGTGAGCCACGGGCCGGCCCAATTTTTTTTTTTTTTTTTTTTTTTAAAAAATGACCGGGAAGGGGATCTTAACCCTTGACTTGGTGTTGTCAGCACCATGTTCAGCCAGCGAGCCAACCGGCCATTCCCATATGGGATCCGAACCCGGGGCCTTGGTGTTATCAGCACCGCACTCTACCGAGTGAGCCACGGGCCGGCCCAATTTTTAATAAATTATATACTCTGGTCACTACATGTGTTAGTCTTACCATGTTGTTAGTTAACTCTCAGTTTTTGGCAATTATCTATAACAAGATAAGACAAGATAATTATCATCTGACTCCTGCACTCCTCCCACATGTTCAACATTAATCAGATGGCAAAAGTAACTAAATAGAGGAAACCTCACATAAAAACTCCAGATGATGAAAAAAAAAAACAAAAAAACTCCAGATGCAACCCTTCCAACCACTGATAAGATGGAAAAGAAGAAATGAAAACTGCATCTAATAACAACCACTTTCAACCAAAGCAGGATTCCAGGCTTAGAGTCCTCAGTGAAAAATCTCCAGGAGGAGGGTGGGAAAATGAAGAGCTGGAGGCCTAAAGAGATTGTATGAGAAGGGGAGACTGAGTCTTGCCACTCCGTAATAATTAATACTCTCTTGCTGCTCTAAGTCTCAGCTAGGCATATAAGTGGATTCAAGACTTGTCACCTCATGAAAACACAAGACAATGGGAGTAAAAGTGTGCCATCCAGTTTCTGACCTGGATATCAGCCATCTCAGCCCGTGGGGTTAGAAGTGGCCTCAAGCCCAGTTATTTGTTTTGTCCCAGAGGCAGGGAGGGCTGGAGTCAAAAGAACCCTGATTCTCAGGGGAAAGGCAGTGATAGGCATACAGGAACCCCGCTAATGGCTGAGACCTCCTCTTGTCCAGCACTCCAACCTGTGAGACATCAAACTTGAAAGGCCTATACCTGACCAGGAAGGATCTGCTGCCTGGAGCTACCATTCTGATTCCTGGAGCTCACATGTGGATGCAGCCTGCTCACACCTCAGGCCAAAGACACAGTGCCCCAGGCTGTACCTGAAATTCTACCCTCTTCTTCCATCTTTCTCTCTTATCAGATCTCTGTCCTCCTGGGCCCCGGCTTTTGTACTTAGATTCTCCTCTGCCAAGTCCATTTAGACTGATGACTGATAGGAGTGGTCCACCCTGCTATCCACCTGGATATTTCCCTCAAAAGTTGCCCCCTCTCAGGTTATAGCCTATGTTCTGGTGTTCCACAGCCTGTGGGGACATGCCGCACTCACGCTCAAGCCCAGTGCAGGCCTCAGGCCTTCACTTCACTGGTTCCTCATTATGTCTGAGATCAGACTCCATGTACCAAGCACAAAGCCATGGCAAGCTCTTGCTTAGTGGTTTGCAACTAAAATTAAACAAATAAAATGAGAAAATAATATTACCTGGCACTTAGCACACGTTCACAATGTGCCCGGCACTATTCTAAGCCCTTTCCAAGTACCACTTACTCCACCAACTACCCTATGAGGCATGTCTTGTTATTAACTCTCTTTAGTGAAGCGATACTGAGCCTTAAAAAGGCTAGGAAAGTTGCCCAAGCTAGGATATGGCACAACTATGATTCGAACCTAGGGTCCAACTCTGACCACACGTCTATAATGCAGAAAAACACAAATATACATTCAATCCTTGCCCACAAAAGGCTGACAATCCGGTAATGGAAGCCAGCACAGACACTGGATTTTAGCCACAAACAGCTTAGTTTTCCAATTCACATGGCTTTTTCTTTATGATTCTCCTAATAAGACAGATATAGGTACAGCTGGGAACTTCTCTGCTGATGAATGCAACAGAATTGTTACAATAGAAAGTGAAAGACAATTGCATAATCTCTTTTAAAATGGGAAGTGACTTCACTAAGAAAATATCCTCATTCTTATATGGGTATTAACAGTTAAAAAGGGAAGAACACGTAGGGGACACAGCATTTCTCACACCTAACCAAAAACAGGACATGAGAAAATGGATCATATCTGAAATTCTGGGAAATTTGCCAATTTGTCCTTCTTTTAGACTCTCTTCCAACAAAACTTCCCATAGTAACATTTTAAGTGAGCCTAAAAAATAGTTCTGACATATTCTAAATGAATGTTGAGAAGCTGGAAAACCATGAAAATATAATGATCAATCCTGTTAAGGAAGAGATAAATAATTAAGCAGAATGTCATTCCACTTATTTAGGCTTTTCTCATTCTCCTTTGATGCATCACCAGTGATTCAGTTTGAGTCAGACATCCAACAACAGCTGAACAAAAAGAATCAATTCAGATCCAAATGATGGTGACACACAGGCAGAATAGACTCAGGCCAACAACCAAAGTACATACAGCAGGAACTGACACATTGCTCAGAAGATACCCAAAGCTCTCTAAGAGAACAGACAGTTATCATTTTAATGTTCCCCAGGAAAGCTTTTGTAGTGTAGCTACATGATGGGGGGCATCTGATAACATTTGAAGCCAGAATGCCTTTCATTATAAATGTCCCTCTGGATCTCAGGACTCCTTCTTGCCACAGCATCCAAAATGGAAAGACAAGAGTAAGCTCACCAACTTTTGCAAATTACACTTTAGTGCCAGAGACAATGCTATGTGTTCCCCAAATCCATTTCGTTTTCTTCCTGACACACAATAATATAATTTATCCATGTCCATTGCCATTAGTTGGGACCACATGATTGAGTTCTGACCAATGGACTGTGGGTCGAAATGATGCATATCACTTGCAGGCCTGGTCCCCCAAATCTCTAATGCAATCCTCCACACACTCTTCCTTCATCTGCCAGCCAGATACTGAGGCCCCTGCAGAAGACTCCAAGGCCTCAGAAGATGATGAAGCCACTGAATGACCACATGGAACAATGCTCGCTCAGCCCAATCCACACTAGACTGTGACACAAGACAGAAACAAACCTCAACTGCGTTAAAACACAGATTCTTGCAGTGATTTGTTACAGCAGCTAGTGTTGCTCACTCTGATGAATCCAGCTTGCCTGTGCCACAATCTTACTGTGGGGGCACCAGTTAATCTGCAGCTCCCACACCCACCTGTGTCATTGCCAATGCAATCAATTATCAGGCAGATTCCCAGGGGCTTGCTCTGCATCCTGTATATCTCTTCAGATATGTGCTAGAAAGGAAGGTAAGAATTGTTAAAGACTGGATACCGCTCTGTTTCCATAAAGTACCACCCATATGCCACCTCTTTTTTTTTTTTTTTTTTTTTTTCCTTAAACATCCCTTTGGCAGGGGAATCACTCAATAGACACAGCCTGAAGTCATCACAGCTGACATTTCCTATTAACGTCAAATTTTTCCTCTATTAGGGTAATGTGCTTAAGACAGACAAGCTATTTCAGTTTTTATATAATTTTAATGAAAATTGCAGTCTCTTTATACATGTCTTAGCTTTGTGGAATAAAGATAATTTGAAACACAGAGAAAAGATAGGTTATATGTCTCCACAGTAACCTGAAGTTATACAAGTGATATCTTTCCAAACCAGTACAAAAAGGCTTTCTATTGCCTCTTCTTAACAGAAAAGAGGTATCAGCACAACTATGATTCAAACCCAGCCTGAGAAAAAGCCAGAACAAGTCAAAGTTCAGTGTCACTGACTACTTATATGTTCAGCAATCACTCAGCTGAGAAAGGGGGTGCCACTTTGGAATTTCATGCATTCCAAAGTTCACTAATGCAATCCACTTCAATGTCTTTCTGCTACATTCCAGGTCCCCTCATAAACAAGTTCTCAGGAGAACAACATTCTCAGCATCCCATTCTTACAAAGAATTCTTAATGTACAGATACTTTTAAAGAAGTCACTGTTCTCTACAGATACTGTGTGTGCAAAACAATACCAGATCAGATTATTTATTCTGTACCTGAGACAAAAATGCTCCTGATTCCTGAATGGATGTCTTCACTGCTTCTCCTGGGGGATGAGAGAGAGATCATTTACAAACTCAAGGAGGACAGGCCGGCCCGTGGCTCACTTGGGAGAGTGCAGTGCTGATAACACCAAGGCCACGGGTTCGGATCCTGCATAGGGATGGCCGGTTGGCTCAATGGCTGAGCGTGGTGCTCACAACACCAAGCCAAGGGTTGAGATCCCCTTATTGGTCATCTTTAAAAAAAAAAACAAAAACAAAAAAAAAACTGCCTGAGCATGGTGCTCACAAACTCAAGGAGGACTAAGTTTACCCCACGCTGGCTGAGTTTCTTTATATCACAACTGTTCTCTTCCCCTGTTTTCTTCAACAATCTCCTTTCCCCAACTATACTCAGCCCCAAGGTTCCAACCACGCACTGAAGAACCTGACGTAAGAAAACACAAGTCCCCATGCTATTCAGGGGCTGTGTAGGAAAACTGCTCAAATAGCAAGTGGAAGAAGGCCTTACCCTTCTCTAGGTGAAGACCACAAGGTTGGTGAGTTTTTAACCTGATAGGGAGAATCTAATAACCTCACCACCCAATGATATTGATAGCTTTCCTACGGGTGCTGAAACTATTAGAGAGTGCAGAAAAGGAAAAGCTTACATGTGTTTGCTACTTATAGAATAGATGGCCATCTTTCATAGTCCAGTGATACTGGGAGACCATAAAATAAAATGTCAATAGCAAGATAGGGGACAGTGAGCCTGATAAGCCTAAAGTAACTTTTGTTAGACAAAAATCACTTTAACAGCCCAGGGAAATAGAAGAACCACCAGTTTTCAAGCCCTAAAGGGTTCAAAAACCCTAGCACTATCACTGACAAGCTCTGTGATCTTAAGCAAGTTACTTCCTTGAGTCTCAGGAGCTTATTAATCTCTAAACTGAATATACTAATATCTACCTTCCATGACTGATGCAAAACGAGAAATGATACCTAAAGACAGGCAAAGAAAATGCCAGTATTAGTAAGGTTTGGGGGAAATGAGCTCTTTCAAATGCTAATGTGATATAGGTTTAAACAATCTTTTTTAAAGACAATTAGCAATATCCTTTTACGTCAATATTCTGCTTCTAGAAGTTTATCCTAAGGAAACAATAAATCATGAGTGCAAAAATGTATGTCAAAGATATCTACCAAATGACTGTTTATAATGACTCTAAACTAGAAGGAACCTAAAAGTCCACCAACATGAAATGGGTTAAATAAATTATGGTACATATAATAGAATATTATGCTATATTAAAAAGGATAAGAGAGATCTTTATATATTTGACATGAATAGATATGTAGGATATACTAAGTGAAAAATGGGTTATTAAATAATATGCATAATATTGATTCCATATACTTAAAAATAAATATTTGTGTTGATATATTTACATATACTACATATAAGCTTAAACATAAAAGAGTCCAGAAGCATATAAATCAAATATTAACAGTGGCTATCTCTGATACTCAGAATTAAGAGGAAATTTCACTTTTTCTTTCTGTATTTTAGCAATCATGCTCAAGGGGTCTTCAAAAAGTTCATGGAAAGATTCATATTTTATCTTTTACTTCTGTTTTTCCATGAACTTTTTGAAGTACCCTCATATCAACAGAAAAAACACTCAAAAGAATCTGTGATATGCCTATCTCAGTTTAAAGCATTTAGCAAGAATTTAATAAACTGTAGTCATCACTATCATCGAATTTAATGATAACAGAAGTCTATTTGGAAGTCCAAATTAATATGAAAACTTGGTTTGATTATTTTAAATTTCTATTAGATTATGACCAAGTTATCAGAAAGCTTCTTCTTTTATTAGTAAATAAACCAAGACCAGGCAAAAGCGGGTAAGTAGTTCCCCTAGCAGGATCACCAGGGGTGTTGGGAGCTTCCCTAACCTCGCGGCATAATAATGACTGAGGATAAACCTGCCACCAGGAAGTGCAATGGAGAGAATACCAAATGATTTTAATTCCTATGCAAATCTACCAGTCTCCTATTTTACCTTTAAACAGCCTTCAGAATGTTATTTTTCACCACCTCATCAGTGTTTTAAGACACATGCTGTCACTTCAGGAATTAATTCACTTCTCAATAGCTTTTGCTGGAGAGTAGAATATTAGGTAGAGACAGACAGGCACGAGCCTCACCATCTGGCTAATCTGGGCAAATGCTTCTAAGTTTCCACATGAACAGAGACAGCATGTAGGCTAAAGCATATGTTGGCAAGGTGCCTGCTACACAAAGAAGGCTTCCATCAGGCCACTGCCCTACTCAAAACGTTCATAATCCCACACCACATATAGGACTGAAGTCCTCCATAGCAGTCCATCAATCTCTGCTTCCTTGAGTTCTGAAGCACAACTATCAGCTTCATCAGTGTAAGACCGAGTCTCAGCCCTCACTTCAAGAAGGACTCAAGATAAGCAAAAGAAATAAACTTTTAAAAAATGATGTTATCAAGCCCTGTTTTAAGAAAGAAGACAGAGATCCTGTGGGTTGAATAATCAGTTTCTAATTGCATTATTTCTTTCTTTTTAGGGGAGGGAGGACATCATCTGTAGATTATCCAGAATTATTAAATGGCCTATAAAACAAGAACTATTAACCTTTTTTTAAGAAAGAAGACAGAGATCCTGTGGGTTGAATAATCAGTTTCTAATTGCATTATTTCTTTCTTTTTAGGGGAGGGAGAACATCATCTGTAGATTATCCAGAATTATTAAATGGCCTATAAAACAAGAACTATTAACCTTTCTTTTTCCTGCTGCTAGATATTTGGTTTAACATGGTTCATTATTATGGCTGGATTAATGTTTAACATGGCCTGGTTATAACTCCATTTCAGGTATAAATGTCCCATCTCTTAAAAATACAGCCAAGACTATGAAGCTGATGGAGTAAGATGGTGTTCAAATTTAGATAAGCTGATTTAATAGATAATTAGAAATGCCAATGAATACATTTTAAGAGTTTAACTGCTTTTTATTTGGAGAGCTTAATAGAATATGTAGACAAAGGACATGGCCAACTCCAAAAATGCAACGGTTTGTAATTGGATTATCAAGTGTTTATAAAGAATAAATATAAAGAAAAGCTGATCTTACTTTTAACGGCAAGTTTTCGCACAAGTCTTTGTTCTTTACTTCTCCCATTCTGGACCTTCAAATATAAGGAATAAGGTCACACTCCCTGGTAGTTTTTCAGAGGCACACTATATTACACATCTTTAAATATCTCAATAGGAAACTTACCCAGGGAAAAAAATCACCTTTACAGTTAAATTATCTAAAGAAGAATAGCAAGAAATGTTAACTCCATAAATTCCATATTATATTGCCAAGGAACAAGGCAACTCTTTTTAAAAGAAAAAATACGGGCCGGCCCGGTGGCGCACTGGAGAGTGCGCTGCTTGGGAGAGCAGCAGTGCTCCCGCCGAGGGTTCGGATCCCATGTGGAAACCGGTTCCCGCTCACTGGCTGAGCGCAGTGCGGACGCAACACCGAGGGTTGCGATCCCATTGCCGGTCCCCGGTACGGGCGCGACACCGAGGGTTGCGATCCTGTTACCGGTCAGTAAAAAAGACAAAAAGGAGAAAAAAAAAAAAAAGGAAAAAATACCATGTAAGTGTAAATATGCTAAACTAGCATATTAGAATGTTTCAAAACAGCTCAATAAAACCAGATGTTACAGTATAGTATAGTTGTTGCTACAGTGTCAAGTTAGAATAAACCGTTAGAACATGAGATTAACATTCAACCTGTTCCTTTAACACAGGGGCAAAGTACAGTATGGTTAAGAGTGGAAGATCTAGGTCAGATAAACCTGATTCTGCTGTTTACTAGATAAGTAACTTTGAGCAAGTTATTTAACCTCTCTGTTTCTTCATCTGCAAAATGAGGATAATAATAGTACCTACCTTATAGATTTTTTTGTAACGATTAAATATACACAAAGCACTCAGCACAGTGCCAAGCACACAGAAGTACTTAATACATGCCCACTTATTGCTTTTATATAATTGCCTAGCTACACATAAGCCACAAATGGGCCTGAATCTTGATAATTCAGAGTGCTTGATTATCAAACACTCTTGATAAACCACTTCTGAGGGCTAGAGTGGGATTAATCAGAGAATGAAAGATTGAACAGACCCTTTCTCTTCTCAGATGACCAGGTCCTGTGTATGGTACACATACCACATATTGTCAAACATCTGATATGCTCAGCTTTCAAATGAGCTCTCGTCTGAAGCTATGCTAGCCAAAAGAGAGAAGTACACTATCCGTTAAACCGTATCTGTCACTAAGTCTGTGTCTCTAAATTAAAGAAAAACGCGTAAGTTGCTTTTTTCACCAACAATCAGTGACTTAGCCAGAGGCTGCTCATATTAGATAAGGGGAAGCTATGCTAGCCAAAAGAGAGAAGTACACTATCCGTTAAACCGTATCTGTCACTAAGTCTGTGTCTCTAAATTAAAGAAAAACACGTAAGTTGCTTTTTTCACCAACAATCAGTGACTTAGCCAGAGGCTGCTCATATTAGATAAGATAGTGGTCCCCTATGTGGCTGTGTATTCACTTTTACATACTATTAAAGAAAAAAAAAAATCAAATCAAAGCTAGATTTTAAAAGCATTATATTGCAGAGTCATACAACTTTTTTATTCTGCAATATCTTGGTATCTTATGTCACTTAATGCCACTGTAACTTCTGAAGCACTTTTGAAGCCTTGTATGAGTTAACATCTAAGTACTCAGCTCCTACATTTTTGAAGAAAGTCACCAAATTCATACACCATAGTGCCTGCTTACCAAATGAATGAATGATCAGGGTCACATATTAAATACAGCAAATTTAAGGAGAAATCGATACATAAAGCATATAGCTTCCCAATAGACTACAAAGGCAATGAGTATGCCTACCTTTATTTACAAAATATAAACAATAGAAAAAATATGACAGGTTTTTAACTAAGAATGACAGTATAGTTTACAGTAAACAGACAATAGCAGAGAAAGCTCAGAAAATCTGGATTTGAATCCTAAATCTGCTTTGTCTCATGAGTTGGTATCATGAGACTCAGAAGGACAAAAGAAAGCACATTCTATTCCTAAAAAAAATGAAAGATATATCTAAGCTATGGATGTCTAGTACATGGTTTATTAGATACATCGTGGTGTAGTAGAAGGAGCAAGGGCTGCGCCCTGTTCTGCCAGTAGTTAGAAGGGGAAAATCACTTAATGTGTTTTAGGCCTAAGTCTCCTGACTTTGCTCAATGAAGGGGTTGGACAGTATAATCCCTAACATTCATTTTAGCGTTTCAATTCTACTGCTCATTGGTATCTCTTACAGCTCATATTGTCCATGAAACTATTTATATTCTTTTGAAAGCGTTTATAATTTAACCATAGAATTGCACTCCAGTCTAAATCCTCACTACAAATTCCACATACCTTTATACAGGGATGAGGACAATATTACACCAAGATTTAACTTTTGAAGATAAAAGATTAACCAAAGAACAAGATGAGTACAAGGACAAATACAACATGATACCTTGTACTACCTCCTACTAATACAACCACCACAAGTGACTATGTGTTATTTATGTTCATAAGCCTCCCCTCCCAAAAAAATCTTTTGTTCATCCATCAGTAAAGAAAACTTCTGCTGAAATCATTAAAATAAGCTCAGTAAAAAGCAAATGCACAGAGGGGTAAGTACAAGGATATTTATTTTACAACATTGCGGTAACAAAATATTGGAAACAATCTAAATGCATATCAACAATTATCACATTACAATACATCTAGAAAATGGAGCCATGTATGATCATTCAAAATAATAATTAAACAGGAAGTTCCATATGAATCATGTGGGCAAATTTCCAATAATGTCCAGAGCACAACAATGGGCATAGTGTGCTACCATTTGTACAAAATCTAAACAATGAAATATTATATGTTCACGTACTATCTCTATAAGGTAACAGAAGAAATGTCAATAACAGCTGCCTCTGGAGAAAGGAACTGGTAGTCAATATTATAGGGGTAACAAGAAAATATATTTTTAATACATGTTGAATTTTTTGTCAAGAGGTATGTCCTATCTATTTTTATTTAAGAAGTTACATTTTCAAAGGAACAATGAAAAAATGTCCCAACTATATATACAGATATACATGCAAACATACACAGAAAAGAAACTAGAGGAAATACACCAAAATATTATCAGCTGTTGTCTTTAGGTAGTGGGATATGGGTGACATATTTTTTAAAAAAAGACATTTCTATCACAATTTTTTCAGATATTAAATAATATATGTGCAGTGAGAATATGTATATTTTTCTCAAAGCTCTGAAACTTTTTCATGCTGGTATTCCACATGGTTGCTCCAGACTCACCCTTAAGTTATATGAAGGATCCTTGAGACTCAAGTTTGGGAGAGAGGCTTGGAGAGCATTCACGTAACTTGTTCCTGAGCCTTGAAGTATAAAAGCAGAAGAGTGGTACTGAGTTAAGATTTATAAATTATTATGAAATGAATTTTCAACAGTGGCTCAGCCCAAGGTCAATCACTGTCTTTCAAAATACCTTAAACTTTCCAGCCGCCTTATTGAACTCAGAGTATCATATCAGAAGACCCTTCCACCAAAAGTCACATAGAACGAATTAAAAATGCTACTCCTGTTCTTGATCTTTTATCAGTCATCTAGAGTGTGTGACAGCAGAAGAGTGCTCTATCAATCAGTGGGCCTCAGCCATGCCCTTTAGGCTGTGACTCTATGGTGGCAGTGAACTGCTAACAGGGCCCAAGCTGAGGCTGAGGTTAAAAGACGATGGGGGATGGGTGGTGCGAGAGAGAAAGCCAGTGTGAGTCTGGTCCCCTTTATGAAGGCAGAAATTGGAGGTGCCCTTTTCCATGAGGAGGTTTTGTGAAGCTTGGGACACACATAGGGCAGCTATGGGACTCCAGTGACAACAACCAGAGTTGGATGATGGCTGTCAGGCCAAATACTGGAGCAACTGGTAGGGTTCCACATACTCTCAAAAGCCCTGAATGTAACAACCCTGCCAGTCCGTGCAGAAAGTGTGGGTACAGACTCTTTCTTAAAGGACAGAAGGGTAAGAATTGCTTGATGGCATTTTGCAGAGGGCTGAGACTCTGTGGTCACGAATATGGGGTGATGGAGTCAACAGATATAAAGGATATGATCTCTAGCGCAGGCTAGAGGGGGCTACGGACATTCAGGTTCCATTCCGTCTACCTATCCAACAAATTAATCGTTACCAATCATACCTACTGTGCACAGGGTACTTGCTTTAGACCACTGAGAGGCCAAAGTTCTTACCAGATTGCTTGTATTTCTGGATTTTTGTCTTTAGGTCTATTCTGTGAATGTTCTTCAGGCATTTTTCTAATAAATCCAATTGATCTGGAGCAATCAGATTTAGTTTCTCCAATTCAATCACAAGATCCAAGAAACTCTAAAAGAACCACCACCAAGAAACAAATGTCAGTAGAGCTGAGTAATAAGCCACAAATGCAAACCCCAGGCCATGTGATTTATAACAGCAAGAAAATGTGACAAGACAAGCCCTTTCAGTGACCTTCGGTGATCCTAAATTAGACACCTGTCAGGAACAAATTACGCTCCTGAATTTTACTCATCAAAGAGGTGATAGTAAGTCTTTTGGTCATCAAATTGTTCATAGGTTGGGGATAGACACATGGTCATTTTGTATCATCAGGAAGCACTGTGAAAGAGCAGGCCTACAATTAAAACGCTCCTGAGTTAATTCTCTTCTGAAAGGCCAGGCTGGTGTTATACTGAAAAACTCTAAGCGCTTCCCTGAAAAAAGGAGAGAGAGAAAGTAGCTGGAAGAAAGGCTTTATGAGAAAAATCCCAATGATACAGTTTTAAAGTTCCTAAAAAATTTCCATCAATGCTGGACAATGCGACTCATTCTTACTCAGAGGATTATGGATAGGTAAAATGAAAAGGTTTGGGTATTTTGCTATTCATTTTCATTGGGCCACAGGGATTGTGAAAGAACTATATTTCAGAAACAGGCACTGCTTTTATTTCCTCCATGTTTACATTTGGTTACTGAACTGCTATCTTTGTTTTTAAAAATAACAATCCTAATTAAATATATGTAAATGACTAGGAGAGAAGATGCTTAGGTAAAACCAAAAAAGAGTTCTATTTTTTGTTTTCTTTCTCATTTTCAGTTTGATGATAGGAGCGTAAGTCACCCCATATTCCCAGATTTCAGATATGAAACCACAATCATTAAGCAGCATGAAATTCTCAAGCAATGACTTCTGAGAGTTCTTTGAGGCAGCCAATCACCCTGAGGACCTATTGTCATAGACTAGAGACCCAAACTCTTCTTGGCCTGTGCTTAGATCAGCAGTACCATGGAGGGCCAACTGGAATTTAAATACTCTTCCAGCAATCACAACATCCTTGAGATCTTCGTTCTACCTGGTTTTCAACCCCAAATCTCTACTTTTGCCATTTCCCACATATGTCAGTCACAAGGACCGTCCTCCACACACAGCCTAAAGACCCCACTCTGACCTTGAGCTAGCTGAGGAGAAACAGACAAAAGTAAGAGACCAAGATGAGAGTGGACTAGCATGTCCCACCTGTTTCCACTCAGTACGAGCAGATGGGACTTCCTGACCCTCCCACACAATCTGACAAACCAGGGGAGAAACTGATATATATGTCAGGCCTATGAAGTTTACAAAAATAAGGATAAAATCCAAGGATAAAAGAAACACCCATGGCCACACCGGAAGATATTATCACCTTATATCTTCTCAATTCATAAGCCAATTCTCTTTCCCTTCCATGTTATTACAAAAAAACCCACCTCAGATGTCTGACTCCCACTAATATGGCAGCAGACTGCCTGCTTCCCTCTCTACATCCTGTAAGGAGCAGCCCCCAACTTCTGATAGGCTCTTGGGAACATGAACTCACCTTATCCTTGGCTATCTTGCCTCGGCCTGTGTAATCCCTCATGAGGAAAATTAATGAAGACACGTCAGATTCATCCAAATCCTCGCCAATCTCTGTCATCAGCACTCTGTAAACCAGACAAGTTTCAGATACCAGTCCTAATGAGAACTCCAAGAACCCATGCCTGCCCTATGCCAATAATAGGTTAAAAGACTAGTTCTTGCTCCCATGTGCATGTGTCCCCTCCATAAAACAGAAAGCCTAGATCACCCCAGGAAGACATCTTAAGGGGACTCAAAAAGGAAACTCATTCTTTCCTCTGTTTTCAGTACGAGACGTTACCTCTCTTTCCAACTAACAGCTCTGAAAACAACTTAGAGAATGAAACTTCCCTAAAGAATCCCCTAGATCCCCCAGAAGTTACAGTGAAATGAGTTAAGAACCTAAATGACTAACATGAAACACAAAAATAGAATTCAAAGTGGCTTTGTCTTCTCTGTTTCACAAGTTCCCAGGTGATATTGATCCAGGGACCATACTTTGAGCTGCAAGATTCTAAAGGAAAGAAATACCTGTGATATCCTGGCCCACTTCTGAACTCAAAGGGTACAGGTATCTGGATCATAGGGTTTCTGACCTTAGATGTCTTTGTCCTGACTCACTCACCTCTGCTTCAGCTGGATCTACCATCACACTTTATCGGGGCTCCTAGGACACCTTGTGGCTATCATTATTACCATGATGTTGTCATCACTACTTAGAAGTCTATTTTCCCAGCTAGATCCTCAGATTCTTTTGTTTTTTGTTTTGTTTTGTTTTGTTTTGTTTTTTGGCAGCAGGCTGGTACAGGGATCTGAACCCTTGACCTTGGTGTTACAACACCACACTCTAACCAACTGAGCTAACCAGCCAGATCAACTCTCAGATTCTTGAGAGTTCATTTTGCCCTAAAGCTTATCAAAACAGCTGGCACATGCCCACTGAAGAGGTATATAAATGAATCTAGCACTCCTCTTCAACTGCCAAGCTTCTCTTCCCAGAGGGCCTGAAGGACGATCTCCACTCACCATAGAAAGGAAATGGGAAATGGAGAGAGGACCCTAACCTACTCACTGAAACCCAGTCAGTGCCTCCCAAAAAGTCTGAAGATGACTGACCTTTTATGGTGGTTGGATAGGTGGAAGATGACCAAGTTGTTATCAACAATGATACTAATCCCTTACATCTGTAGCATGCTTCACAGATAGTAAATGATCACAACTGATGCTGTGAAGTTGGGTATTATTATTTGCTTTACAAGTAGGAAAACAAAGGCCCAGCCAATGTTAGTGACTGGCTCAGCCTACATGGCCCATAACTGGTAGGTCTGAGGCTTGAAACAGGCCTTCCAGCCTCAAGTCTCACACACTTTCCAAAGTCCACACTGCTTTCAGCTCTGTCTAGTATAGTTTTTTGGTAATATGCGTCATCTCCAAATATACGAGAGTACTTTAAAAAGTTCATGAAAAAATAGGTTTAAGGGGCTGGCGATTAGCTCACTTGGTTAGAGTGTGGTACTGACAACACCCAAGGTCAAGGGTTCAGATCCCCATACCGGTCAGCTGCTGCCAAAAAACAAAACAAACAAACAAAAAAAAGAATTAAAAGATAATACGAATCTTTCCATGAACTTTTCTTGTGTGTGTGGCTGGCTAGTAAGGGGATCTGAACCCTTGACCTTGGTGTTATCCACACCATACTCTGAGTGAGCTAACAGGCCAGCTCAACCATGAACTTTCTGAAGTACCCTCATACATTATCGATATAACAAAAGGCTGATGGTCTGGAGAAAAAGGAAACACCAATTTAAGGTTATAAGTTCTCTTCCTTTCCCCAGAAAACCAGCATTTCCAGTGGCTTCTGTGCCCCTTTGAGCCATCAAGATAGCGTCATATGAACAGGAGAACTGAACGACTCAAAGGCTCTCTGAACTAAAAGGAACTCCAGTGGCCCTCTCTTAACTGACAGGGCCTGCAGGTAATTAATTGAAGAGATGTTCAATTTGGGCTTCCCAGAGCCTCTGAGGGCAGGGACCACAGGAAGGGAGTCTGCCCTGCGAAGTTTCCGCAGCAGGGGAAAGACCGACAGGGATTCGGAAGGGATCACGGAGTTCTACAAAGGCAGGAAGATTATTGTCATACTTGTTATTTCCTTTCTCAGTACCCGAAATTTCCAAAGACTGATAACAGCGAGAAACCAACTCTGACAGAAGCTGGCAAAAATTACTAACTCGTAGTCGTTCCTGTCTTTCTTCATTTCTTGTCATTCTGTCCTTCAGGCAAACACATACCAATCTGTCCTTTTCACTTTCATTATGATCTTCTACCCAATTCTTTTAAGCAAGCACATTTTATGAATTCAAAGGCTTCAAAGGAATGAAGTGGGATCAGTGGACAGAGAAAGTAATATGGCTGCTCTTCTTACCATCCTGTTTCTATTGCTCAGCAGAGTCTATACCATCTCACTCCCTCCCACCAGTTCAGCCTTGAGAAGAGCTGATGAATTACCTATAGTCCGAAACAAGGTGAGGGTGCCTGAGCAGGTGGGCCTCTACTGCTGTTTTGTCCATCTTCAAGATCCGCTTGAGCAGGTCAAACCGCCTCACTCTGTAGAGCAGCTCAGCCAAGGCCACAGCAGACAGCTTACCTCTCTCATTCAAAACATCCAGAAGGTCCCTGACATTAGGTGGAACCACGTCTGCAGCAACATCCCGGCAAAGAAAAAGAAGCATCTCCTTCTCATCTTTGTCAAGTGCCTCTTCAACCTCATGGATAACCTCAGCAGACATCATGCACAGTGTCCTTCCAAGGAACTGTTGTAATAAAGCTCCAGTCCAGTTAACAGAAAGCCATGAAGCTGTCAAATTCATTTCTGAAGGCTTTCTTCATTTCCTTCAGAATCCTTTCCAATGGAGGAGTTCTGTAGTTAAAAGGGATTTTTTAAAAAGTTCTCTTATCAAGATAACTTACACCTAAGATTCAAAGTATAGACTCTTCTTTTCTTGCTGGTCTGCCTAACCTAGTAGATTAAATTCCTATTGTTAAGTCTACACAAAGTGAAAAATCAAGACTAACCCCAAAACCAAAAGAGACAGAGTAGAAAACCTACATTTGAAAGGAAGTGAAACTAGAGACAAAATTATTTCCCAAAAAATCCCACATGCTTTATCAGAATGTAAAGCATGGTAAGGGGAAAATCACAACTAGGGAATTAATGACTCAACTACAGTGAACGACCTCAGTGAAACAAAGGGGAAAAGCCCAATGACTAGGCATGCTGACTAGACTAGAGAAACTTGTCAAAGGGGTTAACATCCACTTGCAGGGACCTCACCCAGCTGGGCTCGAACAAATGTGGGGTCTTGGCAAAACAGACCCTCTCTGCAGGGTATCATAAACAATGGAAAAAAGAGGTTTCTATCTCTACTCCATCCCTTTTTTCCAGTATTGTAAGTTGAGGCATGTTACAATAAAAACACATAAATAGAAAATTTTTTTATTAAAAAAAGGGGAAAAATTATGTTAGAAGATAATCTCTACTCCATCCCTTTTTTCCAGTATTGTAAGTTGAGGCATGTTACACTAAAAACACATAAATAGAAAATTTTTTTATTAAAAAAAGGGGAAAAATTATGTTAGAAGATAGAAATGGGGTAGAGAGATAGAGAATTTAATGCAAATATGCAGGCCAGAAGGGCCTAAACAGATTTCAGAAGCTTGTTCCTGAGCTTCCTGGCCATCAAAGCAAAAAGGGATACATAGGAAGTTAAACAGTTCTTGCTATCCAAGAGAAGAAAAGCAAAACAGATTCTTAGAGGAAGCACAGTTTTCCTAGAGTTCCAGAGTTCCCCATCACAGGAAATATTAATGAGTTCTCTAGTGTCTGAAAGTACTCAAATTACATTTAAAGTTACTAAACACTTCACTGAAGTAATAAAGTTACATTTATTTTAAATTTTATTTCATTTTTTGGCAGCTGGCCAGTACAGGGCTCGAACCGATGACCTTCATGTTCTAAGGCTGTGCTCTAACCAACTGAGCTAACTGGACAGCCCCTTTTTTAAATTTTAAATATTTTATTTTAAAATAGATCATTCATTCATACCTTTTACATTGTCCTTCCACAATCTAAATGGGTGATGAGCTCTTACTAAAAACAGACCTTTTTCTCTGATGTATACTTGCTAATAAGTATTGGTGTGGCTATGCCAATCCCATGCCCATTCGTCCGATGGGCCATAAAAATCATATACATTGTATATTGACAAAATAAAAATTTTAAAAAAAAAAAAGAACCTCTGCACAATGCACTGCACTTTACAGCATGTATCACAGCTTGTAATTATTTTTGTTTGTGATGATATGATTATTAAATTAATCAAGCACCACAAAAAAAAAAAAATCATAGAAAATAGAATTAAAAGATAATAGGAATCCTTCCAGAATTTTTTGAGGACTCCTCATGAATATATATACACACACATACATACATATATATGTATGCACATACACATATACAGTAAAAATATTAAAACATGCATAGTAATAGTAAATACTAAATTCAGAACAGTGTTTTTCATTAAGGGATGAAGGAAATGTGACTAGATAAGTATGCAGAGGGGAAATGACCAAATTTATATTTTATTTCATAAGCTGGGTGACACACATGCAAATACTAAAATAAATATATCTCATACCACATTCTCTGACTACAGTACAATAAAATTACAAAACAATGATAGGTCAAAAGGAAACCTTACAGGTTTGGAAACTGAAAATGAATTTCTATCTCCTATGCACTCAGCCTATACCAGTTCAGATAACTAGTACTGTATAAAAGAAATACAGGCATGAAAAAAAAAAAAAAAACCCACTACATGCAAAACTATCTCATAGCATAGTATTTTAAATGCTTTTAGAGCTTCCTTGGTATATATGTAGACAAACTTTAGAACAAGAAAGCCTAAATAAAGGCTGCCCAAAGTTATCCTCAAAAAGAACAGGTCAGATTTTAGAGTTCTTTAGAGTCCTGTGAAAGGACCTGTGCCCATCAGTGACCAACCCCACCTGTCTGAACAGCCTGGCTTGGCACTCCACTCACCTGCTCTGAAGAATCACTTCTCTTCACCTCACTCAGGTGAGGAGCAAAAGGGCCTTCCAGGCCCAATTCTTTTTCTTCCCTGCTTTCAAGTACCTAATCTCCCTGACTGATCAATATTCCATTAGTATCATTTCACCCTTCTGTTTTAAGCTATTTACCTTCCTTACCCAGACAAAACTGACATCAGCGTGTTTTCTAGAATGTTGAAGGACTTCCCCTTAACTCTCCTCACAGGAGAGTTAACTCTCCTCACAGGTATATTCTAATTTAATGACTACATCTCCCCTTCTTTTCCACACCCTCACAAAATCTCCACTGTGGTACAAACTGTCCCTGACTTTGACAAACACAGCAACTAAAACCTAAGACCAGTTCCAGTTTCATTTCTTTGGTAGAAGTCACAAAACCATTGTCAATGATTCTTTTTAAATGCCAATCAAAGCTTATATTAAGCTTTGTCACCAGAGTTAGTTTCCACAACACTGGCTAACAGAAAAAGCAGAAGGTTCTAGCAGAACACTCCAGGCATTTTTGGTACAGTTAATTCTGGTACAGTTGGCTCTGCACATCTGCGGGTTCAAGCATCTGAGTATTCAACAACCGCAAATCGAAAATATTCAAGGAAAAAAACAACAAAAACAATCCAACAATAAAAATTTTAAAACAATACAATATAACAACTATTTGCACAGGATTTACATTACATTAGGTATTAAAAATACTTATAGATGATTTAAAGTATATGAGAGGATGTGTGTAGATTACATGCAAATACTACACCACTTTTATCAGGGACTTGGGTGTCCACGGATTTTCTATCCTCCAGGGTCCTGGAACCAATCCCCCATGGATACCAAGGGATGACTGTACTTACACAAGTGCTGGAAGGGCTGACAGAAGGGGCTCTAGGCTGGGCTACTAGCAAAGACTCCTAGGCTCCCAGAATGACCTGGCCTGAACCAGGGCAGTGGAGAATTGGTAGGCCACCACTAAGAGTACTGAGCTCAAAGAATATCCTGTCATAGTAGAGACCCAGAGATCAGAAGGCGGCCCTACCACCTGAAAAGCAGGTAACTGGACATTGTAACGCTGTCCCCCAAACCCCACATCACCACCACCATGCTTGCCAGCCAAAAAACTAAGAAAAGCAGCAAAGTATTGGCCTCCACCCACTTCTGTTTGCAAATCTGGCCTGAATGCATCTAACTGGCAGAATTTAATTCACATCCTAGCTGTAAGAGTCTAGGAAATGCAGTTTGTAGTATTCCACCCTCTAGACAGAGATGAGAATGAGTTCTGAGCACCAACTGACCTTGGCCACCACAGGATATTCCATGAGAGCATTTATTTCTTCTTTGTGGTTAAATCCTCTGTACAGACTCCAGTACCTAACTCATAGTTAGCACTCACTCAGTATTTTTTGAATGAATGAATGGAATTTCACAAGATACTACCAGGTAATGCTTCACTTATTTTTCTCTCCAGACCAAACCCAGAACATATGCTACAACATCTGGCCGGCACCCTCAATTCTCTCGCCTTTTTGACCACTAGCCCAATGATATCTTGAGTAATCAACTGGTCTTGGTTTGCCCAGGACTTTCTAGCTTTAGCATCAAGCTCCTGCATCCCAGGAAACCCCTCAGTCCCAGACAAACCAGGATAGTGGGTCACCCCAGGACCCCAGCCTTGGACAGGGAGCCTCCCCTATTCATATACCTTGAGTAGCAAGTAGTTCTGAAGGGAGGGAGAAAAGATCACACACATGCAAAGTGACACCACCACACCCTTGTTTCCACCCTCTGCTGGGATTCTCCTGCTGCTCAGCTCCTTCTCCACACCCTTCAGGGAGAGCTCCACCCTTCACTGCTTTCTTCCATCCTGACACCATCCACTGGTGTCATTTCTCATCAGATGACACTGCCATCTATCAGACGTGAGCTCCTGCAACCTTCCACCTTTCTTCTGCCCCAGCTGGCACCTCCTGTCCCTCAGCTTGCCCGGAGCCAACCCCTCCCTATGTGCCCTCCTGTCTCCACTGAGCCCCTGCTGTTTCATCAGCCTCCCTCTATCCCAGGGACCGCTCCCTTCAGCTCGTAAACATGTTCAAGTGTCTTCTACCTTAACAAATAAATAAAACAAAAGTCCCTTAAGCCTGATGTCCCCTCGACCAGGCATCCTTTCATTTTATTTCCTTTCACATGAAGCTGGGACTTTGTAAAGGAACAGCGTGCACTCAGGGCTTCAAGTTCTTTGACTTCAATTCACTCCTCAACATGCCTCCACCAGATCCCTCCACACCACCACCTTCTCCAACACAGTGACCTCAGTGCCAAGCCAGACTGGAATCTGAAGTCAAAGGAAAAATCGGTAATACCAATGCTGTCCTTATTTAAACTTTGGTATTTTGTTCACTATAGATTTTTGGCAGTTATGTCGACTTTTTAAAATATTGTGTCAAATACTATTTACCTTGAGTACTGAGTTTTTGAGCACCCCCTTAAATGTTGTGAGGCAAGCGCCTCCCCTGCCTCACCCTGGTATCCCTACCCAGATGATACTGCTCTTGTCCAGGGCTCGGTGACCTTTGAGAGGGCATTTAGAAGTCCTCTTTCATCTGACCACTCTACCCCACTTGATGCTGCTAATTAATCCCTCCTTGAAATTCTTCTCCCTTGGTTGACCTTACACTGTATTCTACCCAGTCCCTCTCTTACCTTTGCCCTCCCCCCTCAGCAACTGCTCCTTGAGAGGGCATTTAGAAGTCCTCTTTCATCTGACCACTCTACCCCACTTGATGCTGCTAATTAATCCCTCCT